GAGCCGTAACAGACGAAGACTGCGGGGAACTCAAAGGCTTGAAACTAGCTTTCAATCAGGATAGGAGATGAATAAACCACGTAAGAATTGGTGGGCTAAGAACGAGGGTTCCGACCTTGTTCTCCGAGAGGTCAGGACGCTAAGTTTTCCCTCAAATCGATGAATTTTCATACATCCCGAGAATTCTTTCATCAAGATAAAACTGTGAATGGCAACTCAGATTCGTTGGAAAGAAAATGGAAAATTCCAAGTCAGATATCGAACGAAGAAACAAAAATCAAAAGTAGAATGTGCTGCACTATGAAGTGAGTACCAATAACTCTTCGTTTGGACAACTAACCTTCAACCAAGATGATGGCTACAGTCTTTGTTCTGTTTCGTTATCTGTATGACCTGTAGGAGATAAAACTGATGTTTCCAGCCGCAGTTTTGGGTGGCATCACGAAGTGGGTTTACTAGGGCACAGAGTTTCACACATTCAGTCTCCTTGGTCGGCCTAACTTCCTAGCCATATGTTAACTCAAACTGTTCGGCTGTGGTTGTTAATGCAACCTATTTGACTTTTATGTTTACCCTATCTCGTATTGTAATTGGTTCAATTGAGGTATTAATTTTCACAGTACCCAATCACACACTTCCACTGTAGTGTAACTTTGATTACCAGTGTCTGTATGCAACAGATTGAGAGTACCTGAACTCAGGTGCTTCTGTTGAAATGCACTTCCGTGCCCCTCCCCAGACGTACCGAACGTTACTCGACTTTTATTCGGTATGATGTTGGTGTGTCAGCACATGACTAAGCTCAAAGAAATGTTTAATAACCACGGTCTGAAGAATGCCTCGGTTAAAATGTGTGGGCAGTAGACTCACACATGGTAGCCATAGGAAGGTGTACAATATGAAAGGTTGTTGCATAACCTGAAGCAGTCTGTAAGTTGGATGTAACACTTGTAAATTTATTTGTAGACAGTTAATGGATCCATAACCATAAACCACTTGGATAGAGTAAGAGAAAGACTATTTGGTCTGTAAATAAACCGGTCAAACGAATGTGTGTGTGTGGTCAACAGAATGATTGAAGGTTGACTTTTAGTGAAACAAATGGCCAACAGTTCCTGTCCTTGCAGACTGAATAACTCAAAAAGAAATGGAATCTGTGGTGTAGATTATGTAAGGGGGCCTCCGTGTGTTTTCGAAGGAAGAGAGACAGAGGAACAAAAATAACCTATCCGTAGTTGAATAAATGCAAGTCTGGTGCAGTGCAACACCGCTTTCCAAACAAATTTGGCAAGTATACGCCAAGCTGGGCGCCGGAGGATCATGCCGAACTACAATGGACAAGGTATGGTGGACCCGGGATCAAGGGGCAGTCAAAGTGATCTCACGCGGACGCCAAAACTGTTCAGATTACACGGGAGATTGGATACGATCGTAACGTATAACGATCTCGTGTTAGAATGAGGACGGCAACGAAAAAGGTACCACAAACCCTATACGATCGGTATTTCGTACTCTGATAGATGAGCAAGCGGAGTAGCACGGTGAGCACACTAATTGTACAACTCATTCATTCACTAAGATATAAACCGCAGGTAGGTAGCATAGTTATGAACTGTGTGTACATCTGTGAACAAATCTTGAATACTGCATTGTTTATAGCCTAATTTTTCAATCGCGGACGTACTGGTGCGTTACTTTTACCCAGCTGAGAATTCAACGGTAAATTTTAATTAACAGGTGGAAGGAAATAGAAGTGTTCCGATGCAACCGGGTAACTGAATTTTGGTGTCGGAGTCAAAAAAAATAACAATTTGCAAATTGTTTGGTAACTCTGCAAGGACAATCAATCTGTGGTAGATTGGGCACTCTCATAAAATTATACCTCTAGGCAAGTAGGAAATGAGACCCGAAGAAACTCATCGAATTGACTTCTTTCTAGTAATGCACAGTAAACAGAGCAAAGCAAATAATTATTTTAAAAAAAGAATGTTTTAACCTGGTTGGTCACCGTTAACAGCAGACAAAACAACCGGATGGAGCACGGAACACACACAAACACAGCTCTCGGGAAGTGGATTGTCAGACTAATCGTTCTTCGCATTACGCAAAATTGTGCGATTCGGCATCGTGGCCGGCCCCGGTACCGCTCACGTTCACGTAATGCAGAAGAATCAATCATCCATGGATAAGATTCATGTTTAACAGAGTTTGAGGCATGTATAAATAAATCTTGTAGTCGAAATCAAATCCCATTATGATAGCAAAAAGGGATAAAGAGCATGTCAGCGCTGAAAGCCAAACCCAGTAATCTAAGTGGTTAGTGCATTTCCTCGTGCTCGCGTTCGAATCCGAGTACAATTCTGTGGATGCACGATGATGACGCTGATGATCGCAAGTAAGCCGGGTGCTTCCAACGCTCGTCACAGGTAGGAATGACTCGTTGATTGCGTATAGTGAACACACAATTCATAGTCAGAAACGAAAGTTGAATGGCGATGAGGGCGATAAGCCCCGTCCCCTACCCTGTGCGCATATCACGTGATTGAACTAATCCGGTAACGTCCTTCATTGGGCTATGACAAACCTCAGTGAACGTAATCGTGTCTAACTTCAAAAAGAAACTTGTCTGTGAAAACAGTTATACGGACTGGATACAAAGTCGAATTGAACAGAGTGAGAACTGGACAATGAATTGGGTAAACGGAGCATAACGCTTGGAAAGTGTATACATCTTGCCCCAGAAGAATTTTGCGTAGGCAGCACACTCAAGTAATGGACCTTATTTCACACACACACACACACACACACACACACACACACACACACACACACACACACAGCATAATCCGCACGGATCTTTTCAACTAGTCGGAGTTATGACTTGTAAACAACGGAGTTACAGATGACCTTGCTCAAACAGATTGTTGGGACTCATCAACAGCGCTCACCCGAGGAGGTCAAACCGCTTAAAAACAATTGGTTTCTTAGCAGACTGCAAAATAAAACTCAGCATATGTTACTGAATTTACAACCTTTCCCTAATTGCATAGGGTTTTCGTACTAAAGCAAAAAACTAACTCCCTCAATACTTAGTCGACCGTGGATAAATAGTGTATTCTGGAGTGGACTTGGGGTTCGAACCAGAAACCTTTGGAAGGAGTAATAAAATCCTTATCCCCGGAGATAGAAGGTCAGAGGACCGCATCTTGGGTACATGGCCTTACTACCAATCAAAGTACAAGAATGTGGTAATCGACCTTATTTCAATCATCCATAAATAGAAAAAAAATATCAAACAGAGGAGACTATAGGTGATGGGATAACAGAACGTACATTTGTGTCCAATCGAATAGTGGCGGGAATCGGGCGAATGTTGATTGTGGGCGACTCCATTGTTTTGGTCGGCGAAGACGGCGTGATCAGGACAACACTAGCTGTGGTCACCTGTTTGGGCATGAGTCGGGGTGAAAGACTGGTCTGATCCAGACGGATTGTACTGGGACGTTCGATGGGTTGACCACCGTTTAAACTGATCGTGTCAGTTTGAGCTGGATTACCGGATGCGTTAGTATTATTACTATTGTTAGTATCCTCAAATGAATTGATCGAATCCAATGAGACCTCTTCGGCGGACGGTAAATGCACCGGTTTGAAGCATCGATCCTCCGTGAGAAGCGATCCGAGTGAAGGACGTTGTGCAGACACCTAGATCACGAAAAATAGGGGTCACAAATGTGAGGAAACGAAAATGCAACAAGTATTTCAATACAATCCATCGGGAGGATTAGGGTTTATCATTCAAATACATACAGTATTTTTTAAAACAAATTTTACTGCTTTCTCTGCATTCTGATGTTGCGTAACCTGATCGAGCGTCACAGACATTGGTGTCTCTGAATCTGTTGCACGATCATACTTATGCATCTATACAAAACACCTGTTTCAGTGGAAAGGCGATAACAATTAGCTTCTATAAAATAAAGTAAAATGCATCAAAATAACCATGCGGACAAGAATTATTTTTCCCCGTGAATAGTAGAAAAATGCATGTAGTATATACTGTAAATCACACCTGGTTTTCCAAATAATTCAATACGTAAACCGAATTGTCAGATTGAGGAAATCAAAAAGAAAGACAACAGATAAGACTAGTTTACTGTTCTTTCAAAACGTGTTCTACATGAACAATGTGATTCAAAAAATATTCCCACTGTGACATCAGGGAAACCCAGCAGAGAATAAGTTTGCGTTCGAGGACGTGTTCCTCGGATTAATGATATCTATGTATTATAAAGTCCGATATAATGCATTTATGGTTGTTTGATTCTGGTATTATGATGTGATTCGAAAAAAAGACAGACAGAGTTTTTTTGTGATGTGATTTGGAAAATGTTCAGAACCGACAGTGATCTATGAAGTACCGATAAACCTAACGAGAACCAATAGTCAATGTGACCTTGCGACAACTGACGCAGCGGCAATCTGTCTAATCAACCTATATATTTTCGGAAAGTTTGATATAAGTCTCCTGATAACTACGAAGAATGATAGTTTCAAACATCTCATTAGTCCCAAAGAACACATTGATAACAATAGCGTGGTGAACAAGCTCCTTTTCAGTTATTCGTAATCATGCCATTACATAACGTTATATATGACTAACAATAAGAACCAACAAGGAATGATAGATTCGAGTCTTAATGGTTCAGCTCCGACTCCAATCATGCGTGCATTGTGTGCTTGTGTAAAATTGATCTGTGTCAAAAGTTAAAGTGATTGCACACGTGTTGGAGTGGATGAAGTGGGGCAGGGGAGCTTAAGTGCTTGTACAAATTTCTTCTGGGCGCACAAGGGGGGGAGAGGGGTTGTGAATACGAATACTTACGGCTTCAGCCATATATATTTAACATTATGTAATGGTATGATTACGAATAACTGAAGACGAGCTTGTTCGCCACACTATTGTTTTCAGAATAATAGCTCATCGATCCTCGGCGAAACAATATGTTCACAATGAAGATTCCCTCGGTCGTTGGTACGTGATGCAGTTAGTTATTGAAATCCTATTTTCCATCTCAACTATAAACGCAGTGATGTTTTTTTTGCCAGTCAAATGCAATTATGATTTATTACTAGTAAGTGATTTATTGAAGTTAAGGGAGGGCCTGATGTTTATTTATAGAATACAGCAGTACAAACGGATCATTTGTTGATCTATCTCTAACTCACTTCTATTCTCGTTTGTGTAGAGATTCCAATATTTACGACACCGGAATAAGGCGTTAAAACTAGCTGATATATCGTGATGCGAAACCTGATAGACGTGTAGAAGATGCCTCTCAGGGTTAGAAAGGCTCAGCGACTCCGGAAAAAAACAGACCTATGTTTTATTTCTGAACCAAGGTCAATATTCCCCAAAAAATCTTCTGGCTATTTGCATACCTGACTGCCTCCGGGAGGGACGCAAACGGCCATGGAAACGACAAGCAACAAAAATCAACGGGTGATCTGTAACCATTGTGTTGATAGACATGTGCGTAAACCAAAAACTTTTTAGTCTCTCCGTGAAACTTACCTACCTCAAACATCTTATCTACCGAGATATGGCCACCCTCTCCAGCAAACAAATATTAAAGTAGAACAGACAAGACTTGAGTATTGTTTGAGGACCAAAGACAAGGTCCACATAATCCTCGAGAAAATATCAAATCCTTCTTTGGTAGATTTCTTTTGCTAAAGTATTCCCGGACCCCGGGGGACAAGTATCTGGTCTGAAATTCGCATTTATTCCTTCCTCAATACTGTGCTCATTCGTGACTCATAGATAAAAGAAATTGTCAGTCTCTTGGGTAACTATGAACGCACCCGCCCCCCCCCCACAAACTTTCCCACTTTTTGTTTGCCCGGGGCTTGTGAAACACATTCGTTTAGTTGCAAAGTATGGTTGAGTGGTAAAAAACCGGAGCTTCAGTGATGGGAAAAGAGTGAAATTTGGACGGTCCGGATAATAGTGGCATGAATTCCGGGAAGCGGAGAGGGGGGGATAAATGCATAGTAGGCGGAAACGTACCTCAGGAAATTGAATAATTATCGTCCGCACATTGACTTTCTCGGAAGTGCATTGGTCAATACGAAGATCACTGTTAAAGATAACTCTCTGAATGGTTAACGATTACCAAAAGGTGCACTTTGATTGTGCAAATAATCGTTCTCGCAACGTGATAAGATAATGCCTCGCAGATGGAGTCAGAGCAGGATAAAACAAACATTTCCTTTCTCGAAAACAACGATTGACATTCGTTCTCGCAGCAGTTTTAATCCCTCAACCGCTAAGGTATAGGTACTTTTGGTTATGCCGATAAAAAAACCCTACTGACTCTTCCAATCAGATCAAACAGCCGACCACATCGTAATAAAAAATCCTGTCATGTTGTAATATCATCTGTGGGCCTGGATACCCTCGGGTTAAGCAGTGCTAAATGCTATCAGGCGCATCCCCGAGTTGTGGATAGGATGATACCTTTACCGAACAAGGTTAGCTGTGAATAAATTGTGGCATATCGCAACAAATGAGTAGTTGCGATCAAACAGCGGCGACACTACCACGGTGTGGTGAGTTTTAGGCTGGCCACCTGACTCCTGTTTACAAGCCGCCTAAGCCCAATGACGGTGTCGTGGTAAAGGTCGATGTGACTGGCCTTTTAAAACAAAAGTCATTGACCCCTTCACTTCCGAGGCGAGCGATTACTTCCTGCTGCCTTGCAGTTCGTACTTGGTTGTCCAAATGCTAGAGGTGCGCCCCCAAAATAAAAAAACGCCGAGTGACGCTGGGGACATCTCTCGTATCAAACTCTCAAGGAACTTCATGATTATGTCTTCTACGGCGGAAATCAGAGACGTTTGTGGCGCTGGCTTATCCTTTCCAAGGAGCCAGCAGTAGTAAAGTAAACCTGTGTGCCTTAGTCCTTTCGACCTCCAAGCTCTCGTTTCTCCATCTATCGTTCATTGCTAAAACTCTGTTTCATCACTCTACATTTTACTACCTCTAGGAGTTAGAGACACAGATGTTGAAATAGCCTCTGTTGTAGTCCTCCACTTGTCATAGAAGACCGACCACTGACGAAGAGATCGATCTTTCAACTTACACGTCTGGAAATAGTGGCCCTTGGTTTTGTTTAATATTTGCGATGTCTTAAGATGGCGAGCTTCGATGCTTTCCACACACACATCGAAAACCTGAAAAACAACCTACTGCTATTTCGCATTCATTCTCAACCGAAATTATTCGATCGCCTAATGTTTCTGATTTGTGAATGAAGATACCGTTGAGGAAAATCAGACCGTACCTCATTAAACGTCGATATTCGGGAGTGCAACTCTCTTTAGTTAAATAGATATACGCGCGATTTGTTTTTCTAGTAAAATTAGAGGAGAGGATCTTATTGTTTTTGACCAACCGTGCAATAGCATTTACTCATTGCACACCTTTGAGAATGATCACAATTCTATACACGCTAATGCAATGCAACCAACGCAAATCGACGGGAGATGGCGGGGGGGGGGAGGGGAGGNGGGGAGGAGCGGAGCGGAGCGGAGGTGCAGGTCAATATTTTTATTTACGGACATTAAAAAGGCATCACTTACTACGGTGACCGGAGCTGTGGCAATTGCCGGTTCGGATCGTTGAAGGAATTTCTCATTTGTATCCACCAGCTCGTCCGTGGACGAGTCATCCGACAACGGGACGATATCGTAGATTGGCTCATCAAATGATGGGACTGAATTGGATTCTAGCACTCGATGCTTTTTACCGAGCACAGCAGTGTCGATTCGCAAATCCGTGTTTGGATCAATGGAGGAGGAACCGGGCACATCCTGCATGTCAAGAGAAAAAGGGATTGTTTATTTCCGGGTTCCAAATTAGACATAGAGGGATGAAAAATATGACCGAAAATAAAACAATAAGTTGCATGTAGCTAAGAATTCGATAACATTCGTTATACAGCTGATGCGGGAACTTGACAAATGCATGTATATGAATATGTATCAGAGTATTTCGTACATATATATTCACATACGTCTGAATCCAAACTGTTGACCAAATAAATCATGGTACGACAATCTTTACGAATAAAGAACGATGTTCCATGATTTGCATGTGGGATGAATATTGCCAGGTTGCCCAGGCTAAGGTGAGTGAATTTTCTTGAGGAATTCACAACCGGAGCCTTTAGCTAGCCAAAGCCTGACCCGCAAGATAGTGGGTTGGCGGTGTGGCGGTGTGTGGAAATCGCAATCCTTTGGGGGCCGGTGTCCAATTCATCGGACCATACGCCCTGTGGACAGGCTCAGATGTCCAAGGAGCCCAATATCCCTTGATACCCAGTTGAGCCGGTGACCACAACCGGAAAAGTGTGGGTATGGTTCGTACACCTTCTCTTGTTTGGCTTGTGATCAGGGGTATTAGCCGTCTCCCTTAGGTGAACTACTACCAGTGATCCACCAACCCGATTATAGCCCCGGATGTCGGCTCTTCGTCTTCTCACGTTCGTGTGGGAAAACACCTCCCCGCCACGAAGAAGGCAGTGAATAGGGCTTCCTTAGTAGAATTGGCTATTAGAGCGGCTTGGTCGTATAGAGGAACATTTCGTACGCGATTAGTCAATTCTTGGATTATTCTCGCAAATGTCCTCATATTTTTCATAGCTTCAGTTCCAGGTAGCTGATAGACAAGCATATGCATAACATGAGTTCAGTCTGTTTCAGTTT